AAATAGCAGCCTCTTCAACAAAAACTGCTGGGAAAACTGGTTAGCAGTCTGCAAAAAACTGAAACTAGATCCATGTATATCACCGTATACCAAGATTAACTCAAAATGGATCAAGGATCTTAATATCAGACCCCAAACTCTTAAGTTGATACAAGAAAGAGTAGGAAATACTCTGGAGTTAGTAGGTATAGGTAAGAACTTTCTCAATGAAACCCCAGCAGCACAGCAACTAAGAGATAGCATAGATAAATGGGACCTCATAAAACTAAAAAGCTTCTGTTCATCAAAAGAAATGGTCTCTAAACTGAAAAGAACACCCACAGAGTGGGAGAAAATATTTGCCAATTATACATCAGACAAAGAAAGGACTGATAACCAGAATATACAGGGAACTTAAAAAACTAAATTCTCCCAAAACTAATGAACCAGTAAAGAAATGGGCATGTGAACTAAACAGAACTTTCTCAAAAGAAGAAATTCAAATGGCCAGAAAACACATGAAAAAATGCTCACCATCTCTAGCAATAAAGGAAATGCAAATTAAAACCACTCTAAGATTCCACCTCACCCCTGTTAGAATAGCCATCATCAGCAACACCACCAACAACAGGTGTTGGCGAGGATGCGGGGAAAAAGGAACCCTCTTACACTGTTGGTGGGAATGTAGACTAGTACAACCACTCTGGAAAACAATTTGGAGGCTACTTAAAAAGCTAGACATCGATCTACCATTCAATCCAGCAATACCACTCTTGGGGATATACCCAAAAGACTGTTACTCCAGAGGCACCTGCACATCCATGTTTATTGCGGCACTATTCACAATAGCCAAGTTATGGAAACAGCCAAGATGCCCCAGCACTGACGAATGGATTAAGAAAATGTGGTATCTATACACAATGGAATTTTATGCAGCCATGAAGAAGAACGAAATGTTATCATTCGCTGGTAAATGGATGGAATTGGAGAACATCATTCTGAGTGAGGTTAGCCTGGCTCAAAAACCCAAAAATCGTATGTTCTCCCTCATATGTGGACATTAGATCAAGGGCAAACACAACAAGGGGATTGGACTATGAGCACATGATAAAAGCGAGAGCACACAAGGGAGGGGTGAGGATAGGTAAGACACCTAAAAAACTAGCTAGCATTTGTTGCCGTTAACGCAGAGAAACTAAAGCAGATACCTTAAAGCAACTGAGGCCAATAGGAAAAGGGGAACAGGTACTAGAGAAAAGGTTAGATCAAAAAGAATTAACCTAGAAGGTAACACCCACGCACAGGAAATCAATGTGAGTCAATGCCCTGTATAGCTATCCTTATCTCAACCAGCAAAACCCCTTGTTCCTTACTATTATTGCTTATACTCTCTCTACAACAAAATTAGAGATAAGGGCAAAATAGTTTCTGCTGGGTATTGAGGGGGGGGAGCGGGAGGGGGTGGAGTGGGTGGTAAGGGAGGGGGTGGGGGCAGGGGGGAGAAATGAACCAAGCCTTGTATGCACATATGAATAATAAAAGAAAAAAAAATAAACTTTACTCTTGCTTTAACTCTTAAAAAAAAAAAAAAATAATAAAATTTTAGTTTGTCAACTATTCTGCAGCTGTTTCTAGTTTTTTAAAAGTCATTAGAAATAAGTAAATGTATAAATACTAAATTGCCTAAGGGCTGAAATGTCTTTGCAATTTCAGTGAAGGTATATTTTCAAGTACATCATCAGTTTTGTCACAAAAAAAAGCTATTTGGGTAGAAAAATCAGTTGTTTGTTTGCTAGGCAAGTCACAGAGGAATAGTGGATTTTCTGGTGATTTTTTAAAAATAGTTAAAATATTTATTGACAGAATATGTGCACACTTGATATGTATAACTTAAAGAGTCCTTATAGCCTTTCCATATTTTCATTTTAAAGAAATTGAGCAGGAGAGGTGTGGAGGAACTTGCCATAAGGGATCTAAGATATGAAATAATGTAATCTTGACTTGTCTCACTGATTGGTTGGTTATTCTTTTAAGACACATGCTTCTGGGCACAAAACATGTAATGCAGAGTAAACCAATTTGTTTTTACCATGTCACCCTTTGGATGGTCATCACTACTTTTATTATCTGGGAGGCCTGTTTACAACAGATTTATCTATGAGACTAAATGATGGATACCAAAAACATCCAGTTGTACGGTCTCATTTATTCTACTTATAATTTATCAAAGGTGGGTACTGGACAAGGCCAGGGTGTTAGGTGCTGTAGAGAACAGAGATGTGGAATTACAAAACCCCCTTTCTTCTTTTTTTCTTTTTATTTTATTCATATGTACATACAATGTTTGGGTCATTTCTCCCCGCTTCCCCTCGCCCCCTCCCTTAGCCACCCCACCCTCTCCCTCTCCTCCCCTACCCTCTTGCTTCCAGGCAGAAACTATTTTGCGCTTATCTCTAATTTTGTTGAAGAGAGCGTATAAGCAATAATAGGAAGGACCAAGGGTTTTTGCTAGTTGAGATAAGATAGCTAAACAGGGAGTTGACTCACATTGCTTTCCTGTACATGTGTGTTACCTTCTAAATTAATTCTTCTCAAACTAACCTTTTCTCTAGTTCCTGGTCCCCTTCTCCTATTGGCCTCTGTCGCTTTAAAGTTTCTGCATTAGTTTCTCTGTGTTGAGGGCACCAAATGCTATCTAGTTTTTTGGGTGTCTTACCTATCCTCATACCTCCCTTGTGTGCTCTCGCTTTATCATGTGATCAGAGTCCAATCCCCTTGTTGTTTGCCCTTGACCTAATGTCTGCATATGAGGGAGAACATACGATTTTTGGTCTTTTGGGCCAGGCTAACCTCACTCCGAATAATGTTCTCCAGTTCCATCCATTTACCTGTGAATGATAACATTTCATTCTTCTTCATGGCTGCATAAAATTCCATTGTGTATAAATACCACATTTTCTTAATCCAGTAGTGGGGCATCTTGGCTGTTTCCATAACTTGGCTATTGTGAATAGCCCTGCAATAAACAAGGATGTGCAGGTGCCTCTGGAGTAACCTGAGTCACATTCTTTTGAGTATATCCCCAAGAGTAAAGCCCCCTTTCCCAAAACCACAAATTAAGGCACATCACTGGGTAAAGTAGGTAAAGTGGGTTTTCTTCTTTCCCTTTTTTTGGCTGCACTTGACTTTTGAACTCAGGGCCTCACACTTGCTAGGCAGGGGTTCTGCCACTTGAGTCACTCTCCCCACTCCCAACTTTTTTAGGTAAGGTTCACATTTTTGCCTAGGCCTGGCCTCAGACTGTGATCCTCCTACTTATGGCCTCCTACATAGCTGGGATCACGGGGCTTACCTAGCTTATTAAGAAGATAGTCTCACTAACTTTTTGCCTGTGCTGGCCTTAAACCATGATCCTACTAATCTCTGCCTCTGAGTAACTGGGATTACAGGTGTGAGTCACTATGCCTAGTATGGATAAAGATTTTTGAGCCACAGCCAGTAAGCATAGTTAGAAGCAGTCTGGGATGTCAAAACATTACAACATTGGTAATATATTTCAATATGGCAGGGTTTTCTGAAAGATGGCTTGTGAGCTAAACTAAGGTATCCTGCCTCTAAACTGAAAAAATGGCTGTGCTGCCAATCTGCATAAATATTTAAACTAAGCATTTCCACAACTATCTTTCTCATTAGCTTTACTTGTTGTTCCTATTGGACTGTCCTGGGCAGCTCTTGATTTGGCTCAACATTATGTATAACTGACTTTAAATTTAACGTTCTAATGGTTCATGTGACTCTACCACAAAAGGATGGATTTTCAGGATAATACAAAGTCCCCATCTCAACAGCCACTGAAAACACAGGGGTCAAGGTAAGATGACTAAATGTTCAACCCTGGACTGATTAGCAGGTAGAGGTAGTAAAAAGAAAGGAAACCTGGACAACCAGTGCAGTAGAGTCAGGAAAGGGTGAGAAAGCCAGTTAGACCTGATATGTGCAGTTGGCACTGGGCCCTGCCCCTCACTTCTCAGAACTCTTCAGTCTGACCTCTGGGATTTCAGTTGAACAACTGCAACCATTTAAGGATCCTGGGGTTGGCTGAGTGACTTTCTCTGCTGGGAAGCACAGTGAGGAAACCGACATTCCAAATTAAAAACTTGAGTAACTTTGTCTATAGAAATCCCAATAGATGTAGTAGGTAAACTCAGATTTATTTTATGTCAAATATTAGGCATATGTGTGCTGGCTAGAGGTCTAGTACCCCATGTGCCTACCGGAAAACAACTTCTGAACTCCAGGAAACTAACAAAGGAAATCTTGGAGTCCAACCCTGTACTGGGACTAGTGACCAGACAAGGTAAGGCTAGATAACTTGGAGAAGGTAGAAAGCTTTTGTTAACAGTGACTGGCTTCATCAAAAACTCTATGAAGAGTCCTGTAAAGCAATGCTTGGGAATGTGTCTTTTGTTTTTATATAGAATAAAGCACAGCAGAAGTACATTTCAAATAATTTTGGTAAATGTGTGAACATCACAACACAAAACTAGAAGGAAAAATCAGGAAACTAATCAGGAAAACAAACTTTATAGGAAATTTAAAAAAAATGAGTAAAATGAGATGATATATACAATTGTATCTTTAAGAGTTTTCATGAAACATTACAATCCTTCAAATTAAGGACCAATATCGGACAACAAAAACTGATCTGAGGAAGAGCAGTATGAAAATATTCTAATGCAGTGATGCCAAAAAAAACTTTCTGTGATGGAAATACTCCCCATCTCTGGAAAGTTCAACATGGAATATACTAGCCAGGTGAATACCTAAACTGTGGCTGGTACAAATGAGGATTAGACTTTTTCATATAATTTGTTTAAATAGCCACATGTGAGTAGAAGCTACTGACTAACAGTGCAATAAAAATTCTAATGCTTCATGGGTGGAAATCATCAGCTTCTTTGGAAGACTTCTCTAACAACTACGAAGGGATTGAGAGTTGGGTGTGGAAAGGGGAAAACTCTCAATAGGTTTTCTGGCCACTTAAACCAGATCTAAAATTCTTCACTGCCTCTGGAGGTAAGGCTGGCACAATCTACTTGAAAGGAGGACCCTTGGAGAGAAACAGTGTGCCCTTCCAACTCCTGGCTAATGTCAGTGTGAGTAAAAGGCCTACAGTTACACAGAATCTGAGGTTGGGGCCTCCCCTGGGGGCTATCTGTATATGGAAATCACTGCTGTGGGGCTAGTAGAGAGCTGGGAATAGATGTATTCATTTTCGGCTGGGGTTTCCTGAGCCAGAGGAGGGTTTAGAGGTGGAAGGAGTTGAGGGCCCTTTCTGGCTACTCACGGGCTGCAGAGGCCCTTTCTTTTTTGGGATTAATGGCTTGTTCTTGCTCATGAACACTTTGCTGGGATCCAGCTTGTTCACGAAGGAGTCGGTTTCTTCTGTGATCAGGTTTGTGTTGTAGGTGATGGGTTTATACATGCTGAACCATTGCTGAAAAGCAGAATTAGAGAGGGTCACAATTCAAAGGAGAAATGCCATTCTTTGTGCTGGTTAGTCAGGGTGCAGGAGTACAGAGCTAGGGCAAAAAGAGAAGACAGTACTAATCTAACTGAAATATTCTAAGCATCAACCAGTAAATTATATGCAAATATTACAAAACAAATAAACTACACAATCTGAAACACTTCTGATCCCAAACATTTCAGTTAAGTGATACTCAACTTGTATAAGTGTTTATGAAAAACTTCCTTAAAAATCTATTAGCTCTTCATTTAAGAGAAAGTGATGATAGACCTCATCAACCCTCGGTCAGGCACACATGTTGTTTTATGAGGCCTCATAACCTTTAAAATAAATGCAGTATGAGAATTAAGAAACCAAGTACACTTCCTTCCTTCTGTCTCCAAAGCAGCTAGTTCCCTTTAGGGGGACTCTGGCAGTACCCTCCCCTGCCAGAGGAGAAGATATGACAGAGGCCTTTCCTGAGGGAAGCTGCACGTGCTTGTGTTCTCTTCTAGACTGCTGAGGGCAAAGGGCACCCACATTTACTGACTTTTGTTGTTGTTTTGGTGCTGGGGCTTGAACTCGGGGCCTACACCTTGAGCCACTCCACCAGCCCTTTTATGTGATTTTTTTTTTTCCCCCAGATAGGGTCTTATGAACTATTTGCCTGGGCTGGCTTCTAACTGATCTCTGTCTCTTGAGCAGCTAGATTACAGGCGTAAGCTACAGGTGACCAACCTGACCTTTCTTTCATCACAGCCACCTCACAATGGCTGTGAGGTGGAAGTAGTCAAGTGGCATTTGATAAATAGTAAAAATGCACTAGAAATAAGTCCCTAATTTCCTGCTGATTTAGTGAGAAATCACTATGAAAGAGCCCATATCAGTTTACTTAAGTCACAAATTTTGACCATACTTGGTGTTCGAAAGCCAGGTTGTGTATCAGTATTTCTCTGGGATCTGTATATTTGAAATGGTGCCCAGACCTGTGATATAAATGGGGTCTATCTGTACAATGGAATACTCTATAGCTATTAAACAAGACAAGGCAGCTCTCTATGTACTGACAGATCCAAGTGGTGTTCAAAAAAAAAAAAACAAGGTGCATAATGTGAATAATCAATAATATATTACACTTGTGATTTAGCAAAAAAAAGGAGTCAAGCAAACATGGATTTATGCTATACATGCAGTGAATATCTCAGGAAGGGTACCTAAACTAGTAACCATGGCTAACTCTGGGGCAGTATGCTGGGAGAGCAGGGCAGTAAGAGACTTTTTATTCTGAGTACATGTATTGCCAAGCCAGTACTGGATCTAAGCCCTCAGTCACATTTAATTAAAAATAACTCCTCAGGTAATTCTGAGGGTCAGCTAAAGTTAGTATCACTTAACTAGATCAGTACAAAGTAAGGTTGTCTGCCTACATTGGAATCATTTGCTTGCTTATTGGAAATATAGATTACTGAGTTCCACATAAGATCTATTAAATCAGATGGGGAAGCTAGAAATTATGCATTTCCTCAGAAGATTTTGACGTACATCACATTTTCAGATGATAGGTATTCTTCCCTTACCTTGGCCTGTGGGCTAATGCCATAGCTAGTGAAGGCATACTGCCACTGGGGCAGGCCCAGATGGGTGATGAGCAGACGATAATAGGCGGTAAAGGTATCTGTGAGAAAATGCCAGTACAATGCTCTATCCAGGAACCAGATCTCAGTGTCTTGTGCTAATCCTAACATAGCACAAACAGGAAATAAATGGTTAATTTAGCACTTTTTTCCTCTTAACTATAAAGTCAATATATACTCATGGTTAAAAAAAATCCAATAGTTGAGAGGAGTAAACTACAAAAATTCTTTTTTCTGCTCCCAGTCCCATTCTCCAGTATCAGTTTCTTTGATACTCTTACAAATCCTCAACTGATCAGTCAGTGGGTATGCACTAGGCTCTGACCGTCTGGAAGAACATTCAGGCTAAGCAGATGTTCCTTTTCTGTGGACTCAGCACTCCCACCTCCAGTGGGTACATACTGTGTTTTCAGCTTTCCCAACAGAAACTCTGAGCAGCTCAGGCTTTTGCTCTCTCTCAGAATCAGCAGTGCTGTGAAAAATCCTGAGAAGGTCCAATCTGGAAATCCTGCCCGTACTGTTGTGGGATATTCTAACTGAGCTGAACAGGCACTATACTACCACCTCCTGTCTCATACCTGTTTCTTATCTTCCATTCTAACTGCTTCAAGCCTATCCTAGCTCATTTGCTGTCTAGATAGCTATAAGATCTATGGGGCCTCCATCACCTAGTCTCTTCCTTCTCCAAAACTGTTATGGTCATATTTTCATTTGAATCCTGCCATTCTGCTAACTTCCCATGAACTGACTTCCCAAACTTCTACCCAGGTCATGTTCAAACTCTTGTCTGGCTCTCCTTTCAAAGCTCTGCATGAGAGGGTACAGTCAGCCTTCTGGCTTCATCTTCTCTTCATCCCTTAGAAAAACCATGCAGCCCACTGAATTGGAATTCCCCCAAATCAGTTGTACTTTCTCATGACATGGCTTTTAACTATTTGTCCCTTTGCTTGGATGCTCCCTTTACCTTTCCTCCATATCTAATTCTAACCATAGTTCAAGATGCAGCTGTAAGGCTATTTTGCTAAGATTCTTTCAGCTAGAGATCTCTCCTTGCCTCAGAAGTAATCCTGTTGTCTGCACCTTCTCACCCCATCAGACACAGCTACCTAAGACGGTTTGGCCACCTCTGTAGGTTCAGAATCCCTAGATCGGATCTGCCATTAGGGAGTTAGGGGACTGTTGCTGCTCAAGGATGCAGAACCTCAGTAGCTACCATATGAACCCCACTTGGGGTTTTGAGGTCTAGAAATTCCAGTTTTTACTGCTGCTAATTGGCCTGGATATACAAAGTATAAAAGATAGTATGTTTCCTGAATGCTTATCTAACTTATGAGCCTGCAGGAGTCTATAAAAAGAAAGACTATTTCTTTTAATTTTTCCTCATCTATTATCAAATCCCATTGACTATTTTTCAGTGACTCACAAAGGAAAAGGGATAAAAGGACTCCAGAAATTAACCCAGCAGGGAATGATTAGAGAGTACCAAGGGAGATTTCTGGGTCTTGGCACATACAAGAGACCTGGCAACACCTCAGGTGGCCAGAGATATGTGCCTTTTGTGTGGTGGCTTACAAGCAGTCAGTTTAGATCACACTCAAATTATATGACCATTCTTATAAATGATCCTTACCTGGCTTCCCACTTTTGTAGACAAGGCAAACCTTCCCATTCCCATTGCACGAATCCAGTTCAAATATCACACTGCGAGAGTCAAAGTGAGGTTTCTCTGGCTGGTCTTCTCTGGCTGCAAACCCAGAAGTGAATGAACTCAAACACAGAGCGATATATCCAACTTTGCTAGGATGAAAAACTGGGGAAGGGGACTTATCTCAGACATATTCTTAAGTATTATTACCAAAAGAATTCTGTACTCTAAATGCCCTGGATATCATCAATGGATAAGGCCGTCTTTCTGGGCTTTCCTATCACCAACAGACAAGTGTCAGGGAATCTGGTGTAAGGAAAGCAAGCTGAACTTCTTGGGAGTGGAGTACATAAAGATAAGGCAATGTGAATGTTGTGATACTGACACAGTATTTTCCTTTCCCTGGGATTGTTTATTATGTAAAAATGGGATATCATACCATTATCAGAATCATGCTTTCTATGCAATATCACATGGAACTATCTCTAAGGAATATAGTATAACTCTGATCCATTTTTTTAGTAGTTGGTTGATGGTCTGTGTGAGTGGATAATCTTAATTTATTTCACCATGCCTCTATTGATACACACCATTACTCTGCTATGAATGCTAAAATAATCATCTTTGCAGATGTCCTTATGATTTCTCATGCCCTCATAATATAGGAAAGATTCCCTGAAGCAGAATGGATGTTAGCAGACTGCTTTTCATAGCAAGTCTTTGTTTATGAAAGATAGTTTCACAGAGTATAGAATTCTAGATTGGCCATTTTTTGAGTATTTCATTTCACTTAAATTGTTTCTAACGAGGAGGAGTAGGCTTATCTTTGTTCTTTATAATTTGTCTTTTCCCTTTGTTGCTTTTAAGATTTTTTCTTTATCCCTCATTTTGAGCAGTTTATGTTTCTTGGTATCATTTCTTCAGGTTTCTTTTTCCTGGCCTCATAAACTTATTGAATATATGAGTTTATAGTTTCCATCAAATTGGTAAACCTTTGGACCACTGTATCTTCAAATACTACTTTTTGGCCTCCAAGTCCTCTTTTCAGGGACACTAATTACATAGCCATTATTCCACTTTTTGTCCCTCAGAGCTCACAGATTCTCTTTTCATTAACTTATTTTTCTTTCTTTGTCTTTTTGTATAGTTTTTATTATTGACTTCTCCAGTCTTTTCTTCTTGCCAATGTTAATCCTATCCAGTGTTATTTTTCATCTTGAAACTAGTTTTTTAATCACTAAAATTTAAATGGGGGATAAACATACATGTTCTAAGTCTGTTTGTTTTTAGATATATGGAATATAGTTGTAATTTTGATGTCCACACATATTAATTCTAAAACATTATCAATTCTGGATTGGTTTTCATTAACCTATTTTCCTCACAGGTTGTATTTTTCTGCCTCTTTTTGGTAGTACTAGAGACTGACCTCAAGGCCTCTACCACTTGAGCCATGCCCTTGTACTTTTCTGCTTTGCATGCTTGGTCATCATTGATTGGATGCTACAATGTATTAATTTTGCATGTTTGAGTGTTCAATATTTTTGTATCTCTATAAATATTCTTGAGCTTTGTTCTTAGACACAATTACTTGGAAACAGATATTTGGGTTTTGCTCTTAAGATCTGTAATGCAGGATCAGTGTAGTATTTACCTAGGGCTAATTAGTTTCCATTATTGAAGCAAGACCCTTTTGAGTATCTAATGCTTTTGGAATCCTAAAGTATTTCAGCTTGTCTAGGAGAGACAGGCACTACTCTGGTCCTGTGTGAATGCTGGGAATCGTGCCCTTTAATCATCATGGTGGTTTTCTCCTTGGGCAGTTTCTTCACATGCATATGCTGAACACTTGAGAGAAACACCTTGCAGATGTCTGGAGTTCTCTATGCAGCATTCTCCTCTGGTTACACAGTTCTGTGAACTCCAGCTACTTTAATCTACCTGGGCTTCTCATCTCAGGGAGTAGAAGTGGTTCTTCTGGATCTTTCTTTCTATGCTATGAACTGGAAACTCTTAAGGAAGTAAGCCAGGGAAAATGCAGGGTTCACCTTGTTTGTTTCCCATTGCTTTATGGGTCCAGTGTCTTGAAAACCACTGATTTACATATTTTCTCTGGGTTTTTTAAATTGTTGTTCCAGGTGGAAGAATAAAGTTGGTCTCTGTTACTTAGAGATGAAATCAAAAGTTCATATTGGAGGTTTCCAACAACTTTCCCAGCACTTTGTATGGTGCTGCCTGAGGTCTGCCCTTAGATGAAAATTATATAATTTTGAATGAAAAAATTCATTCAGCGGGGTTCCTTCTGACAAGTGTAGATACTACTCCAGTTTATGCCTGCTTTTGACTGTTCTTTAGACTTTTCAGGTAATTGTTTTCATTTTTCCAATATGTAGAATATTCTGCAGATGCCTTGATCTGGCAATACTCTGCTGCTACCAGAAGCATAAATTCACACTATTTGAATTTTTATTTTTTTTTTCCCCAAACCTCCATGAAATTTTAGCTTGGTTTTTATCTCTCTGTGAGTACATTAGCACATTAACACCTTTGCTCTTGGGAGTACAGTAGATCTCAATTTTACCTGTAATATGTGCTGGGTCTTGTTCATGGGGTTGTGTTTCTTCATATGTCTATTTTTTTAAAAGTAATTACTTACTGAAGTTTTATTTATAAAAAATTCTGAGGCCAAGGATGTTATTTCCCTTTAAGGTGAATTTTTCTTTTTACATAAAATATTGTTCACTCATTTAAAGTACACAATTCAGTAATTTTTAGTATGTTTACAAAGCTGTACAACAATTACCATGATCAATTTTACAACATTTCTTGAGTGAATTTTTGTTTGCATCTACCAGGCCCCTGAGTTTAGTAAGATTGTTAAATATCAAAACTGGACTATATTGAACTTTTTCTGTGATTCTAGCTGCCCTGATATAATTGGGCTCACAGATAGCACATAAATGACTCACACTTGAGCTTCATTCAGTTCATGTGAAGAGTTGTTACTTTTGTTCATCTTGTCTCCTAGTGTTACCAGGGTGAGTAGTCTAAGAAGATACTAGTCCAGAAGATCCCAAGTTCTTATGTCACCTGAACAGAGAACTGGACAGAGACACAAATTGCAAAACAGTAGCAAAACTTTATTGAAAGGAAAGAAAGACTAATAGAAAGCACTGCAAGAGAAGTGGTGGGTTTTGCCATGTGGCATGGAAGCATTGATTTCTTTGTTTATGCCCATTTTATAAGTTGTAAGGCAGGAAAAATCTGGGCAGTCTGTAGGCAGGGAATAGGGTAGCTGGCAGGTTTAATTAATACAGCCTTATCACATAACATGGGGTATTCTGAGCATGAGCTTATGCTAATTTTGTCCTTTAATTGTATGTATGAGATGTAACCAATATTCATAAGGTCTTAAGTAGAGGACTTGGCTTGGGAGGTCAAATTGGGGGCAGGCCTCCTTTACCTCACAAGTCAGATCCAAAGGTGCAGGACAATATCTTGCAAAGATATTTACTAATGCCTCAGTATTTACAATTTAGAGGGGATTTATTGCTCTAGAGATGGCTCAGAGCCATGCTGGGGATATCTGTTTGCTAGCCTGCCTAACTAGAGTACAACTCTTCATAATGCCAACCCAGACTAAGTAGCTTTTATGGGTGCCATCTTTTGTAGGCCCTGAAATTCATTTTATTTCCCTGGCCCACAAACAAGTTTAAAACTCAGCCTTTCAGCAGCCTCACTGACTTCTGAAAAAGACAATATACACGAGGCAAAAGCAACTCCACATTTTAAATGTCTTCTCTGAATTTCTGTCCTCTTCTGGATGCTGACCTGATAGTAACATCTTCTTGGCTCTTTGGTGCTTATTTTAGTAAGATGGTTTTAAAATCTTGTCCACCTTTTTATTGTTCAGCAGGAAGGCTGATCTGAATTAATTATCTATTTGCCATTACCAGAAGAGTAAGTCTCAAGATTGGTTTTTTATATTAATTTCACAATCTTCTTTAAAAGAGATTCAGTTCCATAGCATTTAATGACTGCTGTATTTTATTTTCTTCCTCATCTTAATGTTCATTAATTATTTTTTACTTATGTTCTCCAAAATTCTCCTTATTAGAACAGAGATGTTAACGTGGGTATTTTTATTCCTTTAGTGTGTGGAAATTAAATGTAAAATTTACTGACACAAGTTGGTCATTTTTGTCCACTCTAGACAAAGTAGAGGCAGCAGCTAATGAAGTAACGGGAACTTAGTCTTGCACTTGGGATAGGTACTATCACAAGGACCTCCTAAAACCCACAAGAAATTCCTTCACATACTATATACATCTCATACCTTATTTGGCTTACACGCCTAGCTCACTTTGTACATATTTTTCTGTATCAAGGTTTACCACAAGAAAATCTTGAAGACTGAAGAAGTTCAGATAAGACACTGGCCTAAAAACAACTGTGTAGTGGAAACCAATTAACCTTGTTTCAGAGCAACTGATGTGGACTTCTTTTTGTTCTTAAAAGCCTTCCCTTATCTGAACTCCCCTGAATGTACTTATGAGTTTTCATAGCCTGTATTTCCCAGACTGGAATTCTGTTACTCATTTCTGAATAAATATGATTTTTCCAAGAGCCATTCTCTATTGTTATTTTAGATTGACAAGTGGTTATCTTCTTTTGTGTTTGTTTTATTTTTTGGTTTTCAGGATTAAGTCCACATGACCATCTTATTTGAAAAGAGTAATCTTCCATTATTTCCCTAACCAAATGGGGAACACAAAACTCTGGGATGGCCTCCAAGATTACTGCACCCGGTATATACATCTCACGTGGTAGTCAGGACCTGTGAACATGATGGATAGTCGTTCCTTTGATAAGGTTACATAAAAAAAGATATGTAGCACATGGGAAGGAATTTTTCTGTTGGCTTAAAAGTAAACTGCCATGTGGTGAAAAGGTCATGTGGCTAGTATCTAGAGGTAGCCTTAAGTTGCTGAGAGTAAACTCTGGCCAAAAGCCAGGAAGGAAATAGTCATTTTAGTCCCACAAATGCAAGAAATTGAAAACAGCCAACCACAGTAACCCTGCAAAGAGGGCCCTGTGCC